GCCCGCTCAGGCATGCACACACACGGCCGCTCATTAACTCATTCATCCGTTTATTCATTCATTCAATCATCTGTTCATTCATTCATTCACAACGACCACTTCATTCATTACAGAGAACCTCCCCCACTAAATTCACGAGACTCATGCAGCCACGGCCCCCTCCTCCCAGACGCATGACAGAGACGAGGGCCTGGGGGGGATGGAGGAGTGCATTCGTCTTCCAAAACTGACAATCTGCTTGCAAATTTCATTAATTTCCTTTTGCTGCGCTGCCCTCCTCTGGATGGAGGCCATAAATCTCCCGGTTTCTCCCTATTGATTCCATTACGGCTCCCCTGTCCAGACGGGCCGGCGGCACCACGGCATATTACAGATAAAAAGGCGCAGGGCGGGTGTGAGGACAGCGGATCGGGGCCCAGGGGTCTGCCGGACAGAAGGGCCCACCTGGATGTAGCAGCTTGCACTGTTAGCATCCCCGCTCCCAGATTAGCATCAGGGCCTGTATCCTAGGGACATCAAATTCACCCCTCAAAGGTAAACACAGAGCCGTCTGACTGGGGGACACATGAGTGGCAAAGCTGCTGATCATTAATGTGTGTGTTTGAGGTTGGGTTCATATGGAAAAACGGGTGACTGACCGCACACTTGTGGTCCAGTGGGGTCTTAACCATACCCAGGTTATCTGACATGAAACTCACTTTTATGGATGAAAAATGGTTTTCTGAAATCAGCTTTTTGTGACTGACTGACTGTGAGCCTCCCCATGCATCGATGATGGTGATGGTTTGTAGCCATGTGTTAAAACAGACCCAGCTTGAAAGAGGGGGAACAAGCTCCCATCCCTTAACAGGCAGCTTCCAAGATGACAGTGGCTCCTCGTTTGTCTTGGATATAAAAAAAGTATAAAAATGTTCCGCCCTCTGGCTGAATGCCCCAGCAAGGGCAGCACCCCCCACCACCGCCATGTGCCTCTCCTGTGGTTTTCACTCCTCCACAGTTCTGTTAAAACAGTCTGGGAGTAGGGGGAGGCTTTTTGAGTGGTTTAAAGGGGTCCAGGGCCCTTTGATTGAGGATACCCCCCCAAAACAGCTGGATCCCAGCTAACCTCCCTAAGATGAAGCTAAAGGCTACATGCTAATTCTTCCGAGCATCGATATAAGGGAATCAAGGCAAAAAACTGAGAATGAGATATGGGGGTCACATTCAAGTGGTAGACTCTGTTTAATTAACTCACTGCTGAATAGACACATTTTCATATTAATCATCCCAGAAACTGACACAGGCTGAAGCTGGCTAACGTGGACCAAAACCAGCTGAAGCTAGCTGACGTGGGCTGAAACTGGCTGATGCAGGCTGACACAGGTTGACATGAGCTGACACAGGTGGAAGCTGGCTGCCATGGGCTGACAAGCTGAAGCTGGTTGATGCCCTTGTTGATGCAGGCTGACATGAGTTTACACAGGCTGAAGCTGGCTGATGCAAGCTGACACGGGCTGAAGCTGGCTGATGCAGGCTGACAGACTGAAGCTGGCTGATGCAGGCTGAAGCTGACTGATGTGGGCTGACACAGGCTGAAGCTGGCTGATGCAGGCTGAAGCTGGCTAATGTGGGCTGAAGCTGGCTGATACAGTCTTATACAGACTGAAGCTGGCATACATGGGTTGAAGCTGGTTTATGCAGGCTGACATAGGCTGAAGCTGGCTAACGCAGGCTGACACAGGCTGAAGTTGGCTGATGTGAGTTGACACAGGCTGAAACTGGATGATACAGGCTGATGTGGGCTGACAGGCTGAATCTGTCTGTCACAAGCTGACAGAGGCTGAAGCTGGTTTATGCAGGCTGACATAGGCTGAAGCTGGCTGATGTGGACTGACACAGGCTGAAGCTGGCTAATGTGGGCTGAAGCTGGCTGATACAGTCTTATACAGACTGAAGCTGGCATACATGGGTTGAAGCTGGCTGACAGGTTGAAACTGGCTTATGCTGGCTGATATGGTCTAACATAGGCCTTTCCATGCTGTCCTAAGCTTTGCTTACAGGAGCATTTAAATCATCACTCAAATGGTCCCTGGGGCACTGGCAGCTCTTCACTTCAGCTGTGATGCTCCCCCAGCGCTCGCAGGAACACGCCTGTGCATGGAAATCAGACATGGAAATAGTTTTTCCCCTTGTAAGTATCTATTACGCTTTGTCAATACTTTAATGAAATTGGACAGCTTAATGTGATTTATCCTGATCCATACGCTTTATGGTCATAAAAGACTTTTTGGCTCCACTCCTGAAAAACACTGAGCAAATTTAGATGAGTTGCTGGTAGAAAAAGACAAATAGGCGCAGAGCCTCGGATGATTTGTTATTGGTTAATTCACTTTTATTCCCCTTTTGCCATTTATGTGAATTCTCTGTTCCCTTTCTGAACAGGAGGGTGCGACAGCAAGTCCATCTGGGGACATTTACAGCAGTAGTAAAATGCAGCTGTGCTGGACATGGTGGGGGGGTGTGGGGGGGTGCTAGGCTGGGATGAGATCCCCAGGGGTTCTGACACTTCAGGGACGGAACTTCCAATCATTAAAAAAGAAGAGCCTCCCCTAGACTGTTCACACCACCCACTATGTGCAGGTACATTGTGGATAGACAGAGTCAGAACCTGGGTCTTGCCAAGACCACAAGAACGATATCTGTGTTCTTGGTATTAAAAAACACCCCATGACAAGATGTGTAGTTTCCAGTAACTATGACAGGGGAAGGCCTCCCGTGGGCTATCGGGGCATCACCTCCATCCAGGCTCCAGGCTCACTGGGCCCTTTTCAGCACAATGCAACCAGAGGAGCTGGGGGTCGGGACCTGTACAAAGGCAGCCGTGAGAGGCACCTGAGCTGGGCAGACTGCTCGTAATCCCCCTGTAAACACAGACCCCATTCAAACAGCCCAGGACCTACAGGTCTGTCCCATGATGAAAACATCTAATAAGACCTGGGAGAGCAGGCAGCCCTGGACCTGTCGGACATTGGGGGTCGAGGTCACAGCTTGATTAGGTGAATCCCTGGCGCCCATTGGAGGAGCTCGAGTGATTCCGCCATGCCAGGAGCTCCCAGGAAAAGAATGTTGGAGGCGTACCCTCTTTGTGACCTTCTACACACTCCGCAGGCTTCTACTGAAGCTGTTAACCCACAGCTTCAGCCCTGCCCTTACAGCATGCAAACCCTACCAGCCTTACTGCATCTAAGTCTTTCTCACAATGCTACAGGATGGAGCTGTGTAGGAGCCTTGGTAATTTCTATGTTTGCTAGATCTACTAATCTCTTTATAATGGATGTAATTTAGTTAGCTCCAGTGAATGGCCAGTGTCTGTCTAACTGAATAACAGCCCAAACTGATCTGGTCCTGTGAGAGGACCACCTGCTGGGCTTTTTAGCAGGATCAGAGACCCCGAACGCGCAGCCTGGAAGCTGCAGATATGCCCT